AGAATTAAAACGTTCTTTAGAGTAGAAAACATGGTCTTAAATTATTTATAATTAGCACATGCACGGTACACGGAATAAAAAGAGATCAACTACTACTATCTGATCGATAATTTATAATTCAGATAAGGAATATCCATCCACTGCTGCTCATATACTAATCTTAATTCATTCTTTTAAACACATGGCGCTAAAAATCTCAAACTAGTTTCTTACTGGTTCTATCCACACATTAAAATGTCTTCTCCATATTTTTTCTACTGTTTCCCTAATTAACATCAATGTTTCCTTGTTTTTGTGTTTGAAAGAACAATTCAAAATTAGTACACGAGCAGCAGTGAATAGATATTCATAATCTGAATCATAAATTATAAATCAGATAGTAGTAGTTGATCTCTTTTTATTCCATACAGTGTGCACGTACTAATAATTTAAGACCACATTTTTTACTCCAAAGAACGTCTTAATTCTGTTTGAATTACAGCAAACATTTCGTACAATGATCAAAATCATCACATGTCAATAGAATTTCGATTTAGTGAGAAAAAAAACAGAGAAGAAAAAACTAACGTTTACACCTACTTCTATAATTTTTTCAATATTACTGACATCAAATTAACAGATTTAATATTTAAAATTGAATAGTAACAACATTCATCTGCCTTGAAATTCATTGACTCGAAAAGGCAGAAACAGAACAATAAACATTCATCTGAAAATAACATAAATAAATATTCCAAAAAATTAAACTAACAAAAAGCAAAAGCTCATACTACCCGTCTTTGACTGAAGTGTTTTTTTTCCTTAGGCATTTAGGAAAGAATTTAATAAGAAATGAATCCGCTTCAATTACTCACAACGAAATGAATGACTAAGACACACAGTACTAAAAAAAAGGAATATTAGATTATTAAATGAAATAAATACAAAACACAAGGATGAATTGGTGCATTTGTCAAATCAAATATTTCTTCAGAATTCTTATACTTCACAAAAGTAGGGTACCTCTATAACTGAAGAGTTATCATAGCTAGGAACTTCTACTTTTGCGTGTTTATAACTCTCACTAAGTGTTGATCAACCAGCACAGACAAATAAAGACCGCCCTTTTTTCTATAGAATCTACCACCATTCATTGTACCTCATAATCATGCAAAAATATTGTTAAAGAAATCTAGGGCAAACAGGACGAATATTTTCTCTTCGAATGAGTGATGGGTGTGCCTATAATTTTTCTGACACAGTTTCACCTATATCCTTTGTCGTCATAGGTTACAACAACGATATTTTTTCAAAATTATGATGTACGTTGACTGTAGATTCTATAACAGAAGGAACAAACCTCTCATGCTGTGTTCTCACGTATTTTTCTATAGTGTTTACTTATTCTCAATGAATTTCTGCTACAATACAATAGTTGACCTTCATACTTTGGATGAATGATCTTTAGGCACTGAAGTGCAATTTTGGAGTGAACCCTGGGTTAATCTACGAATTTTTTTCGAAAATCATCTTAAATTTCAAAAACGATTCTCGGTGGTAAAATGACTATGTTACAGCAACTGTTAAAAGTCAATACTTAAAACTGATATTATAGATAGTAGAGAATCATGGCTACATTCTTGCAAAAAGAAAAAGTTTTCATCTCTCTTGTATCATGAGTTACTGGCATCCTACGAAAAAGAAATGAAACGTTTATATCTCACGAATTATCTAGTTAAAGAAGCTTAAATTTGTTGAATGATCAGCATTCACTGAGAACTACAGTGTTTTTAGTAGCACAGTAATCAATTCATCATGAAAAACTGAAATCTAATGTAATTTCCCTTGGGTTTCTAACTGTGTCTCTGATTGTATCGTGGTTTTTGATTGAATTGCAAATTCTAACTGTAAAATTTTCAATGTGACGTTGATTCTGCAGCGGAAAAATCCAGCGTGGTAAAATTTCTCTTAAAAACACTGAAGTACTATAACCGCACAAAAGTAGAAATCCATAGGAATTATGGTCCTCAAGTTACCGAGCTATCGGTAATTTTTCGATGCACTGTGTAAAAATTGCGAAGCAATATTTTGTTCTAAAAAGTTATTAACAACAATTATAAATTCAACAGCGAAGAATAAACTATCTAATAAATGGCTAAGTTTAGTTAAAACTAGATCGTTCTTAAGGAAAATATGCTTTCCTTCTCGAGATATACGAAAAATGCTGAAAATCATGCAAAAAAAGTCAGATTTTTCGTATATCTGAAGAAGAAAAGCATATTTTTTTGAAAAAAAAAATTACATTCTGAGATAGGGTCTGAAGTATCTGTGGTAAAAAGTTGAGCTCGATCGGACGTGTGCTCCGCTTTAGGCAACAAGGTGAAAAAAGAGGGGGAGGGTGTCCTTAATTCGACTGAACTACTTCTAGTGATTAATAGCCCATCTACGATTACGGAGGCCGTTATGGCGTCATAATCAACCGTTTACGCTGGCCATAGCCTGTTGATAGTAAAATGCGACAAAAAAAAGGAAAATTTATGTGCAGCTTTGAACTGTATTAGTCAGTACACGTGCCTACTACTTCTTTTATTGTGCTATCATGTGTACAGATATTTATAAGCGAAAAAGTTTAATATTTCGATATATAACACTCTTGACATTAGGGTACAACATTTTTGAAAAGCTCATAACTCCGTAACTACAGAATATTTTTTCGAACCGAAGTTTTTTTAAACCTGACTAATTTTTGTGAAAAAAGGAGTATTTCTATCTTCGAGCACATCCTAGGACTGTGAGAATGGTGTTCCTGCGCAGCGTTTTCAATGAGATTTGCCATCAAAGTGGGGACTGAACCACTTTGCTTTGAATCCCAAAGTGGTACATTCTACTTTCTCTAAGAAGCAAAGTGGTTTTAACGCTAGTTTTCAGCATGCAACATCTGTGAAGCTGGTGTAAGATTGTGCTCTAAAATTTGAATTTATCTAACCTGAGTTAAATCTGTTTTGCCCTGATTCTTGTAGTACGACTGAAAAATAAAGGATGAACATTTGTATGATTTAGAGTCAAAAGGTGAATCAGAATAGATTTTGTACAGCAGCAGTCATTTATTTAATAATTTTATTCTAACTTGATGTGTCGACTCTTCATTGAGTCATTTTCAAAAGTAAAATACATAGACTATTATGGACCGAAATAATAGCAAAGTTCATCGGCTCAACGAGAGTAAGCAGGGCGTTTTACTCCTGTAAATCGGTAGTATATATGTAATATTATAGTATTTTCGTATCACGAGCTTACTTTACAGTCGGTTACGATATCCCTTTCGGCTGTTCACAACTACTATACCATAAATAAAAAGCGTTTACGCTAGCTGAAAAGCCACTGAAAATAACCGTAACTTGACGTTTCCAGCTGCAAGAAACGATCACGAAATCCGGCGTGTCTAAATCATTTAGGGTCGCAGAACTGTCATAGTAACACATACCATGTAAATCACATATTCACATGTATGACAATCGTGTAAATTACTATGATACTATTGCACAAAACCTATGCCTCAGTTTTATTTGTATGTAAAACAAAGGTTCAAACGATGTGCTTAAAATAAACAGCATTTCGCGGTTAGTAAACTGAGCTGGTTTGAGAATTGGCATGAAAGATATAACGAGCAAAGCTCAGGTTTCAAAAATAATGAATATTTTGAGAATTAATGCAAAATCGACAAATATGGGCTAAACACATTGCTGGCTGAAGCAAAGAGCGCTTCTTGTGAATTCGAAAGCTTATTAGAAAAATTTGAGAGTTTAAGTTTGTAAGACAAATTGGGAAGAGTCTTTTCGAGTTGGTTAAGGCTTAAGTCACAGTTATGTTAAGTCCTCATCTTAGATTCAAACCGTATTACAAAAAAAGTTAAGTCATGGGAAATGTAGTCTTAAAGTTAATTTAAATCATTGACGCATTTTTGGAATAGCTCAAGTATTTAACAATACGATTTGATGAAACTTTTTAAGGAGGTTTAAAGAATAAATCTTTTGCTATTTTGCGAGTTTTTGTCCCAAGTTTGTCACTATTGTCTACGACTTTCAGAAAGTAAACAAATCATCAACTTAAGTCTTTTCGTAATACGATTCAAGTCCCCAGACTTAAGTCGGTCTTAAACTTAGACTTAAATCATGATTTAAGTCGATAAGTTGTTTGTAATATGACCCCTATATTTTACGTTCCATTCAGTCCTGAAAGTACCGACTAACGTCATTATGAATGACATTTTACCTCTACCAATGTGAAACAGTCAACAAAAAGAAACGAGTCTTCTTCTAAGCCATACTACAAAGACAACAATTGAAAGAAATTGTTAATCGGAGTTATAGTTAAAAATATTCTGTCACAACCTTCTCCTTCTAGTCTTTCTCATCTTTCCAGTGCAAATTGTTACGAAAACGAAAGTAGTAGAATCGATAAAAATACACTGCAGGTACCAAAACCTCAAGTAACTGAACTTGTGATTTAATGTTCATACTAAGCACTAATATTATTCGAGCGCATTATGCAAGTTGTTGTGACAGTTAGTGTTCTGTTAAAAGCGGTCGTTTAATCACTAGGTTGTAATTCTCATTTTTAACGAGACAGTAAGCTTACTAAGATTGAGACATCGATTAATTGAAAATGAGTTCGGTATACGTGTGTATTAGGTATACCATATATATATATGAGTTAGGTATACCTGTAGGGTTGATTTTATGCCATGTCCTCCATCAACTTACTAAAGAGAGAAATCCCAAATGGTTAACTGTCGTAAAATCTAGAAATTAGTACCTAATCACACTAAAGTTGTTGTTTTTTTCAATTGGAGTTTGGGACCAGCCAGATACGGAGCGTAAAAATTGTCCTTACTTTGTGCAAAAACTAAAACTAATTCTGTTTCTGTATATGTTCTAAAGTTGTATAGATCGAGATTTCAATTCTTTCATCAATATATTCATTTTAGATTTAGCATTTTCACAACAACTCGAAGTATCATCATGTCAGCATTAACACGTTTATCTCTTACATCATCTTCGGCATTATGTCGTTGGACACAATTTATGACAAATAAGAATAATTTATTTTTAAATCGTTTACCTACGTTGAGCGCAATCGTTCCATCGAATCCTCAACGTTCTATTCAGACATCAGCCATACGTTATGATATCGATAGCGCAGCGAAATATATTGGTGCTGGAGCAGCTACAGTCGGAGTAGCAGGAGCTGGAGCAGGTAAGTGAAATTAGAAAAAATACATACGTTGGAACTATATTGTTCATTTATTTGTTTAACACCTAGGTATTGGAACAGTGTTTGGCTCATTAGTTGTTGGCTACGCAAGGAATCCAAGTTTAAAACAACAATTATTTTCCTATGCCATTTTGGGATTTGCCCTATCTGAAGCCATGGGTCTATTTTGTCTTATGATGGCTTTCATGTTATTATTTGCATTTTAAAAACAATTGCATTAGTATCAATGAAACAAAGACTATTATATAGTGTAATTCTTCTCTCATGATCCATAATTATATTAGAAAATCTTTCTCTATTTTTTTCTGCTTTCCCCAACTAGCACCGGTTTTTCGTCGTCTCTGTTTTTTATAATTTTTAAAGCATCCACAAGATTGTTGTTTTTTCTGCAAACAGTTTTTTTTTCACCTGGATATTAGCAATAAGAGGCCTGCCCATCTTGTTTGTTTTATTCTGGTTTTTTTCGTTTATATTCTGCCACACGCACCGTAATAATGATGATAAAGTATCTCTTTTTGTTCTTGCTTTTTTATGTATTTAGTTTATATTCAGAAAGGTGCGATAAATAAAAACAACAACAACAAAGACTGTGGCGCAAAAAAGGTCGGTGAATGGATTCAAAATTGCCGTTGGTTTTCGTTATCTATTTTTGCAGCAATTCATATGAAAAAAATGTCTAAGTGTGTTCTATGAATGATGACAATTGTGGTCTTCGACTGTATCTCTGTTACTGAGCGCTGTAAGATATAAGCATGCGTTTTAGAAATAGCTTGACATAGTTTATTTTGATCCGGCCGCAGTTGATTTTTTTTCTGCAAGAACAAACGTAAATGAATCATTCCAGTAAATTGATGTTTTAAATCAAACTTCGGCTCAGTGTAGGATGCAATATTGAAATTGATGAATTTTTTTTGTCCGAAAAACGCTTATATTGACCGAAAATGTTGGTCATATGAATTTTCTTTGTCTTCCTTTTAGCCAGAGTGGCATAATGTTACTGAAATCTACTACCAGTCGCTTAAGAACTATTTCAATTGTTCAACATCTTCGATTCTCTAGTGCTATTCCATCATCAACAGCAACAAAAGACGATGAACGAAATATTCTTCGTATTGGCTCTGTATCAACTGTCGTTCATTCGCCTAAAGATCCAGCATTTGTACCTCGTCTCTATTATGATAAAATTTCATTTCCAAAATCCTATATCAAACATTTAGAATGGTTAATGAAGAAAGATCTTCTTAATCAAGATTCTCTGCTAATCGGTGCGCCCGGTCCACTTCGTCGTCAGTTGGTTATGGCCTATTTAGAATTAAATAATAAACAATTTGAATATATTCAACTGAATCGAGATATAACCGATTCGGATATAAAACAACGACGAGAAATTCTGGATAAATCGGCTTTGTACATTGATCAAGCGGCTGTGAAAGCAGCTGTCACTGGACATGTGTTAATTCTCGATGGAATTGAAAAAGCGGAAAGAAATGTTTTACCAATTTTGAATAATCTTTTAGAAAATCGTGAAATGAATCTAGATGATGGTCGATTTTTAGTGTCAACACAACGCTATGATTCATTACTAAAAACTTATACCAAAGAACAACTTAATCAACTCAATTTTGTACGTGTTAATGAACAATTTCGAATTATTGCATTAACACTACCGATACCAGCGTACAAAGGCAATAGTTTAGATCCACCATTGCGCTCTCGTTTCCAGGTAAAAAACAAAGGTGCGGATTATCTAGTGTGATCTCTTCTTGTTTTATAAAATCTTTTATTTTAGCTACGTGATATTGGCACCCTTTCATATGATGAACACATTCAATTATTAAAATTAAAATATCCTCAAATAAACGATTCAGTTTTACAAAATCTCTTATCATTTTCAACATTGATCAATTCTACCGAGTTAGATACGTTGAAATTAATACATTTTCCAACGGAGCGAATTGATCTAATGTTAAACTTATATAACGTAAGCTCGTCAACACTGACTCTTCCAGATTTAATTCATCGAATATATCCATACAATGTACTTTATCAACATTCAACGGAAACAAAACAGGGTATTAATGATATTTACAAAAAATTATCAATCAACTCAAACATAATCCATAATCGTCGTGTAAAAAGTATTAAGATCGAAAATTCTGTTGCTCAAGTCAATTTGGAAATAGATGGCAAGGAACATCAAATAAAAGTATACATCGTAGTCTCAACTTGGTAGTAATCTAATTTATTGTACTATCTTTTTTAGGTTTCGGCAGGTACATCGGTAACCTCTTCATTACCAAACTTCATTATGACACCCTATCATGAAAATTTACTTGTCGATTTAATTTTAAGTCATGCTGTTGGCGATATCTGTCTTGTTGGTTCAAAAGGTTGTGGAAAAAGTTTACTAACTGAAAATTTTGCATCGTTACTCAATTATTCAATTGAACATTTTGTATTGTACAAAGATTTGAGTGCCCGAGAACTATTACAACAGCGTGTAACAAATGAACATGGAGATACGCAGTGGATAAATACACCCATAGTCGATGCTGCATTGAACGGAAAAATTCTAGTATTAGACGGAATTCATCGATTATATTCAGACACATTAATTTCGTTACAACGACTTGTACAAGATAGAGAATTGACCTTGCCTGATGGTACAACACTACTGAGGTATGGTCATTAAAGAATTTGCAGAGTTGTTGTTTGTGAAACTAGCTTCCAGGAGAAGGAGAAAGATATTGTCTATGTTAACTTTAGCATTATTTTTTGCATCATCCTCACTCGTCATTTTGCTTATCTAGACATGATCGTTATGATTATATTCAAAATGAAGTGTTAAATTGTACAACTGAAACTCTTCTTGCAAAGAAAATTTATCGTATTCATCCATCATTTCGCATCATAGCTTTAGCAGAACCACCTGGTGGCGATAGCACAACGGCATCAACAACATCTGGTAGCTCACCAAACTCAGTTAATGAACAAAATTGGCTACATGCCGAAACATTAACGTTGTTTCAATATCATCATATGAGACCATTGAATTATGAAGAAGAACGTCGTATTGTTTATTCAGCTTGCCATATTGATAAAGATAATACCACTATTGATCGTGTTTTACGGTTTGTTAATGATTTAAGAAATTCTAATGATAATCAATTGAAAATGGTATCACGTTCATTATCAACAAGAAATGTAATACGAATCGCGAAACATCTGAAATATTATACGTCGGAGAGTGATCATCTTTATGAGCTAATGATGAAATCAACGTGTGCACAATTTTTACCAAGATTAGTTTATGAAGCATTCATTGATACATTGAACAAGGCCGGAATTAAAGAGGTGAGTTGTAAGCTCCTGTTTTCATTTGTATGAGACGGGCACGGTTCGAATGTATGTTTAGAGTGTGTCTGAACTATCATCGTCCAGTTTAAATTTATCACCATCAAACCACGATACTGAAAAATTATTATTTGATCATGCAGCAAAAGTCCCGTTTACGACTTACTACGAAAATCCGTTACATAATGATATTATAAGAAAAATGCATGAATCATTTACACTCGGAGAGCATTTACTTTTAATTGGGCCACAGGTAATGATCAATTTGTTTACTTTCTTTGCAATCGCGCTTGAGTGTTGTTCTGTGTTTAGGGCGTAGCGAAAAATCGTTTAACTGATCATTATTTACAAACACGAAAGTTACCACGTGAATATATTCAATTACATCGTGATACAACTGTTCAAAGTCTAACAATTCAAGCAAATGTCATTGATGGACGTATTGTTTATGAAGATTCTCCGTTAATTAAAGCAATCAAGTATGGATCAGTTGCTGTTATAGACGAAGCGGATAAAGCTCCTTCGCATGTGACATCTATCTTAAAATCATTGATAGAAAATGGTTACATGTATTTGAGTGATAACAGACGAATTTTTCCACCCAAACAAGAACATCAAAATGAAGCTGACATTGATCCAAATATTATTCATATTCATCCAAATTTTCGAATGATTGTATTAGCTAATCGACCTGGTTTTCCATTTTTGGGCAATGATTTTTTTGTTAATCTTGGTGATTTATTTGCTACATTTCCAATTTTGAATCCACCACGTGAATCAGAAATTATTTTATTAGAAAAATTTGCCCCTGATATAAAACAACAACGCTCAACTATTGAATTATTAGTAGATGTTTTTACTGATTTACGACAATTGTACAATGAGGGAACAATTAATTATCCATTTTCATTAAGAGAACTCGTTAGCATGGTTAAACATATGAATAAATATCCTGAAGATAATCTACCCGATATTCTTCGAAATGTATTTGATTACGATAATTATAATGTTGATTTACACGATCGAATTCGAACAATTTTACATCGACATGGTATACCCTTTAATATAGACAATCGTCATGTTAAACTATCAAACACCTATCCAATTAATCTAAAATTTTCAAACGAAAAATGGTTAACAATCAAACAGGAAAAAGGTAGACTTTTACAAGAACATCCTATTCGAACATCAAACATATTAAAACAAAAACAACCAATTTTAATTGATTCATTAAATCGAATAAACTCCCGAACACAAACATTTTCAGAATTAACGTTTAATTATCGTTTACCGATGGATGAAACAGCATTTGTTCATGATTTTAATATTCTCTCAAACGATACTGCACTTGTTCTAACAGCAAACCCACTATGTTTATGGACGTTTAAAATGAATGAAAATCAAGCAAAAAAATTTGAAATTAACAATCTTTTACAGCCACAAAATAATGCACGTTATTATACACCACAATATCAAGTAAGTAAAGAATGAAGAGTGATACACTGTTGAGATACTTTAATATTTGAGATATAACTAGACCCATGGATAAACTAGTCATCTTTTCAATAGCACCTGTTCATCTGTCTTTTATTTTTCAGCTATATGTCATTCCCGATCAAACTAATACGGTGGTTATAGGTGAATCAATCTCACAAAATTTTGCTTTTTTCAATATAATGGACGGTACAGGGTCCTTAATAGAAAACGGACCGTCATCAATTGTGCAGAAAGTCTCAAAACTGTTGCAACCATCATCATTATTATCTAATTCGTCCTACAATCCGACGAACGGTCAACTCATTGTTTATGGTGTCAACAACGATATTATTCATTTGTATGATTTTTGCAAAAATATGTTTAAACAAATTAAATTACCATTTATATTTCGTTCAATTGTACCGTTTCAAGATACGTGGATATTCAATGATAAAGATCAACAGTCATTTATGATTCACATAGACAACAAAAATGAAGACATTCCAGTATGGTTAATACAACAAAATATCCATAATATTGGCTTCGGATATAGTGGAAAAGAATGGTTTACCAGCAGTGAAGATTATTTCGCTCGTGTTGTTAATAATGACAATTCATTGGACATTGATCGATTGAAACGTCCCAAACGTTTATTAATGGATGTTAGTCCATCGGAAACGTATGAAAAACGTCGTTTACAAACATTTTACAATCAAAAACACTCGATAATTGCGTCTTTGTACGCCAAAGATTTAGTAGAGAAAAAATTCAGGTAATAATGATAAATTGTTGATATCTTAGTGTTCTGATAGAATTTTCTATAATTTTAGATCCAAAGAAGAGTCAGATATTCTTAGTTATCTAGAAGTATTGAATTTATCAAATAATTATATCACTTATATTCCACTTTTGAAACAACAACGGTCATCAACACAACACGATTGGTTTATGCATACAAAATCATCGAGTGGTGTCTTAGCCGCACAAGCAAAAGATGGAACCTTATTAACAATTGATTCGAAAGCAAATATTTCAACATTTGAAATAGTACCATCAGCATTGGAAATATCACTGGATAATTGGAATAAACAAGTAAAGACAAACGAAGAAAATTTAAGTATTGAATATTTGAAAGGAGGCAAAACCGATTTAAGCGGACCAAAACATGGCAAAGTTGATCCAAATAACCAACCACATGTAGGAGGTAATCGATGGGCTGGTGGTAGTGGTGGTAGAGACACCGCAGGATTAGGAGGTATGTAATTTATTTTATATTTTGTTATAAAATGAAATAATACATTCTTCATCCGTTAAGGCATTGGTGGTCCATATAGACTGGATAGTGGTCATCAAGTTTATCAAGTGCCAGATGAGGTTAAAAATAATGTACCCGATCATATAAGAGAAGCAGCACGTGAATTAGGTCAAAAAGTATTTAAACAACGTTTAAAAGAAATTGAAATGTCTGAATATGATAATGATGTATATCAAAAATATTCATCAAAAATACAATCTGAAATTAAATTACTTCGTTCAATTATTGAAAATCTTGAATCAAAATCAAAGGATCGTCAATGGATACGTCATCGAACATCGGGTGATTTTGATGAGAGAAAATTAATTGAAGGTGTTATTGGTGAAACATCAGTTTATAAACATCGTGCGGATATACCACCCGAACCGGGCACACCACAAACAAAGGCAAAACGTTTACGTCTTATTGTTGATTTATCAGCATCCATGTATCGTTTTAATGGTGTTGATGGTCGATTAGAACGTCAATGTGAATGTGTTCTCATGTTTTTGGAATCTCTTAGTGGCTATGAACATAAATTTGTTTACGATATTATTGGTCATTCAGGCGATAGTCCAGATATTGAAATTGTTTCTAAACATCGAATACCAAAAAATAATAAAGAACGTTTGAAAATAATTAAGACAATGTATACACATACAATGTTTTGTAATAGTGGTGATTATACACTAACATCAACAAAGCAATCCATTGCACAATTAGCCAAAGAGGCAGATGAAAATTTGGATGAACGATTTCTGATTGTGATATCAGATGCTAATTTTGATCGTTATGGTATTTCACCGAAAGAATTTGGACAATTATTGAATTCAAATGAAATGGTTCAATGTTTTGCTATTTTTATTGGTTCCCTTGGACAACAAGCCGCACAATTGCAGAAAAATTTACCTAGTGGAAAAGGTTTCGTTTGTCTTGAAACAAAAAATATTCCCAAAGTATTAAAAACAATTTTTACAAGTGATGTACTCCATTAGTCCTCCATTCTTAGATTAATTTATTTTTGTTTTTGTATTTTTTAATAAATAATCTTTATGGTAAATTTCAGTAGGAAAAGAGGAAGATACTAACATTTCTTAGTAAAATTAATCTGAATATCATGTAATAGTCATTACCAGGGCTTTGAACGAGTCGGGCTGGATCGATAAAAATCCACCCATAAGCCATCTCGCCTCTAACCGGTCCAGCCCATGGTGGGATGGTCAAAAGCTTTTCAGCTCAGCCCATCCATCCAATAAAAAATTTTCCCCAGCACCGTGTCATTCTCCATGCTCATCGAGGCTAACCCGATGGAAAATCTATCCAAAATATCCTAGGTTTTATCACTAATTCTTCTTTTTGATAAGTTCAATTCAGAGTTGTAACCGGACCGGTTGAGTGAGTTGGACCGGCCGGTTTTTACCGGTTTCACAAAGTTGTGCATATTCGTTCATTTTTCATCAGAAAGATACTATGTATGGGTGCTTAGTAGTTTTTTTAAAAGGAAAGAGAGAGTGACAATTTTATTTGAAATGTAAATTTTTTCTTTTTATTCTTTCAATTTGTTTTCAAAGACAAAGTCATATTATTTATTGTTTAAAATATCTTAGCAATCGAAACATTGTCAAATATTGGCGTTTATATGCTTTTATCTTTTTTCTTTAATGTTAATCTAATTTTTTAGTTTCGATATGCCGATACCGTAACTTCCTAACCCAAATTCGTCTTAACTGGCTTTGTTATTTGACATAGTGAATCTCTTCCTAAATTTATTTTCAAATTATTCGTGACGTTTCGTCATTCGACAAATGACTGCTTGAGACAGACTATTACATTTACACACTACAAATTTTGTCCCTAATATCAATGTTATTACTTGAAAAAACTTGATGAACTCGCCGGTTTTTACCGGTCTGAAAATATTTTTAGACTGGCCGGACCGGATCGGTCTAGTATTTCCAGACCGATTACAACTCTGGTTCAATCACAGTTTATTTCACACGATGTCTACATGCAACATTTACTCGAAAAAACTTCAATTCTTTTGAAAAATAACCCATTGGCCGAAGTTCGTGATCCATGGGCGCCCATCGCACAGAAGCGTTAGCCAAGCCCATGGACCAGGCTGATCATTGTCCAAGGCAATTCGGAGCCCTGGTCATTACTGTTTTATCATTAAGATAAGAATTCTGTGAAACTACTCTCTTTTTAACAAATTTCAAATCTAGTTAAACTTGAAAAGGAGATCTTCCAATTATTTTTCATAGACTCCTTCTTCCCTTAAAATAAGTCTTTTCTTTTAATTTTTTTTTTCTAAAAATACTGAATGAACAAATGTCTGTCAGAAATATATTAATGTTACCATTAGTTTTCGATTAATCGACAATTAATAATTTAAATCTCAAAGTATGCTGGTTAATTTGTCATCATTATTACTGTTGTACTTGTTTTTAGCTAAATTATCAAAATAAGCACTATAAACTTGTCCTGATGGTTTTATTTTCAAATAATTATCAAATAAACCAAATTTAGATTCTCGTCTATTTTCCGGTGTCCGATCGTTCAATTGATAATAACATGCCACTTGAATATAATCTAATTTTTGAATAATATTCAGTGCATCGTTAATATAATACGCTTGATTTTTACTTCCACCCCATCCTTTAATTTCAATCGAGTCGGTATCTTCATCAATTTTTAAAATAGCACTACTGAAACCATATTGTGTTAACCATAGAGTACGATTTGAATCATTATTATCTATCATTTCATTTCTCATCAACTCAATACCTTGTTTAAAACAATAGAATCTTGATGTTGGCAATTTTTCATTGCAATATCTGGGACCATATTCTTTACCAAAATTTTCCTTATTAAAATCATCAATATCAAAAACACTTGTAAATGAATGCATAGAAATTGCCACATTTTGTGTTCCGTTTAAAATGCCAGATTTGTATAATTTCGCTAAATATGCTTTATCACTTCCTTTCATTGAACCAATCAATAGGAATGGTTGCAGATTTCGATCTTTTAAATGTTTAAATATAGTTAAAATCATTTCCGAATATTCTTCAGCTCCAATTAAATCAATAAATCTTTCATTATGGAGTTTACGCGTCGTACTACCGCATATACCTGCTGAAATTTTACATTCTGGACGACGCCATTTTTCAGCAATATTTGGTTCATCCCATATTTCATAAGCATAAATTTTTTTACCATATTGGTCAATTAATCGAATCAATGCTCTAGCATAAGCATTATAATCAATGGGACGATAAAAGCGATAATTTTTTGGTCGGTAATTACTACAATTGTATGATGATGCCCAACATGGGGAATCCGAAAATGAAATGATTAATTTTAATTTAAGATCTTTTAGATAAATCAGTTGTCGATCGATTAAATCATAACTATATTGGCCTTTCGTCTTTTCAAATTTATCCCATGATAAACGAATAACAACAACTTTAGAATGAATTTGTTTTAATAAAGCTACTTTATTCACAGTTATATTCTCTTCGTATATACCAAATAGTTGTTCTTTCTCTTCACCGTCGACTTGTTGACACACAATTGTTACCGTAAGCAATGCAATAAAAATTCGGCGTTCAATTAACATCTTTCTTATTCCATTTGTTTAAGAGATTCATAGAACATTTACAAATGCGCCAACATTTAAGCATGACACAACGATATTCATCACTTTTTCTTCAACAACGAACTATGAAAAGGGCCTGTTTATCTCCTGTTCTGACGAGGGAATCGCCCCAGGTGCCCGACTCCGATTTCCTTCATTCATACCTCGTTTTATAGAGCACATCGAGCTGGCAAAAAGCCTAAAAGGATTTTTGCCCATGGCTCTTGAAATCTCGGTTTTCTGCAAAACCAGTTTTTGAGAAATTCTAAAAAATAATCAAAACCTTTCATAATGAGGCATAATTATAGCCCGCACATTTCT